TCAAGAAGCTGAGAGGTATAAAAGCACTCATTTGAGATGCTTCCTCAAGCCATCTTTCCCTTCCCACTCTATTCATTACACATAGTCACATATGTAGGGCCGAGGATTTAGCTCAGTGGTTGGGCTGCCTGCCACACAAGCACAAGGACCCGAGTTCGATCCCCGGTACCAAAAAAAAAAAAAAAAACAGCAAACCTGGCCAGGTGTGGTGGCGCATGCCTGTAATCCCTGCTCTGGGAAGCTGAGGCAGCAGGATCCCATGTTCGAGCCCAGCCTAGACAACACAGTGAGACCACCTCAAAATTTTAAAACAATTTTAAAGGACTGAGGGTTAAAGGCCCAGTGGTAGAGCACATCTGGGTTTGATTCCCCAATACTCCCCCTGGAAAAGAATCCCAAAGCATGGCCCTGAATTGCTCTGGTTTCCTGTCTCGCCACGTGATCTCTCACACACAGCTCCATCCCAATGAAGCCCCCACCACAAGGGCCTCACAGAAGCTGAATGGGGGGAGGGCAAATCTGAAACTTTCCGCCTCCCACACTGTGAGCTGAATAAATCTTTTCCTTATGAATATCCAGCCTCAGAAATGTTGTTCATAGCAATAGCAAGCAGACTATTACACTGCATAACCAGGGGAAATGCCTGTCTGCCCATTCCTGCCTCTAAACTTTGGACCATACTACTTAATTCAAAAAGGACAGAGGAAAGATCTGTTAATAACAGTCCACGCGGCCCCTGGTCCCAGCTGAAAGGACAGCTGCGGACATCCAAGGCTCGTGTGGAGAAGTGAGTAATAGAAGTTGGCACCAGAGAAAGTTAAAAGCAGATTGGAGACAGGAAAATAGGAGGAGCCACCACAAGCCTCTGGTGTTCACATTCCTAATCACTTTGGGTAGCAGTGTGACTTTGACATTTGACTTAACTCCGAGACCCTCGATGTCCCCATCGGTCCAGTGGGAATACTCACAGGTGTGACCTCAGAGGTTAAAAGGATGCTGCACAAACAGTGCTTCTCCCAGGGTCTGGCAAGCAGCAAGCATAGGAAGGGCAACTTGCACATGCTCAAAAGAGAGTGTGGGTGACAGCTGGGTGGCTGTGCAGAGCAGACCCAGGGTCCCAGACCTCTGACCTCCCCAGTGTGACCATAAAAGTCACCTTCTTCATCTCTAGCCAGGCGCAGTGGTGCATGCCTGTCATCCCAGTGCTTAGGAGTCTAAGGCAGGAGGAGTGCTATGAGTTCAAGGTCAGCCTGGGCTGCATAGTGCACTCAAGGCCAGCCTAGATTACATGGCAGGACCTAGTTTAGCAAAACAAGAAAAAAAATCAGAAGATGCATAAGAAATAAAGACCTCGAATCATCTTTGTAAATATGTTCTTTATTTCCCAAGACCTCTGATACCAAGGATTAGCAGATTTTTGTCTACTTGCACGGAGCTCTCTGGCTCTGACTGCTCCTGGAAAATTCCACTGTAGTTCTAAATATGCAATCTATAACTGTGGTTCGATTCAGTTTGCATTAAGGGTTCAGGGCATGCCTTTTGCACTGGGCCATGGCAGAGCCACCTCTGAACCTGTGACTGGCCATCCAGCTGCTTTCCGCCTTCCTGCCAGACCTTAAAACCAAGCTTGAAACAGTTGCCTGTATGCTGGGTGGTCCTCAGGGGAGCTGGTCCCACTGCTACCTGATCCTAACTCACCCTACCCAGCCTGTCTTCCGGTCTGAATTCCTGGCTTTGTGCCTGGACTTGATCCCTACCTCCAGTCTCTTCTGGATGATCTTGATATTTTTATTATTTTTTAATTTTAAGTTTTTTAAGAATAAACAACCTTTACTGGGCTCAGAGCAGGAATCTATGGTCTGCAGGGCCTCTCTGTATTTGTCAGTTTTCTTCCCCTGTTTTTTTCTGCATTTTTGTAGCCTCACAAGCTGTTTTCTCTTCCAGCAGTAGGTGGCTGCCACTGCCTGGTAATTTCAGCCAACCTCTTGGGCCAGGTGAACCGGAAGGACTAACTTTCTTGTAGTCACCTGGCACACAATCTTGAGGCCACCCAGAACCACCATCTGCATTTTCTTTTGGAGCAGTGGGATCCCATGGCAACCTTGAGGTGGCCAAGAGCAGCCTGGCCTTGCTTGGTCACGGGGCAGTGACGTCACACTATCCTTCAAGGATGTGGCTGGGGGCCCAGGAGTGGTAGGGCCTCAGGGTGCTTGGAGCTCATCCACTGACACAGGAAGGCCAGGTACTTTCAACTGTTTCTGTAGGTAAGACCACAGATCTGGACCCCGTCAGAGTTGTTACCAGGTGCTAAGTCCTATGGGGCTTCTTTCCAGGTTCTTGATGTCCTGAACAAAGAGTTGGACAAGACACAGATAGGGCAGTGAAGGTGTGCACTTATTGAAGGCAGAAAATAAGTACACTCTGCAGAGTGAGAATGGGCCCAGGGACAGGGGGAAAAGGGTCTTTTGTAGCCAAAAAATCTTTTATGCAAATAAGACATTGGGATAGTCATCCTATCACTCACTCACTTGGTGTCAGCCATGTGTAAACTATCCTATCAAAATCTCCTTTGACTTCCTGTTCTGTGTAAACAAAGGATCAGGAACAGTGTCTTTTGATTGATTGTACCACATACAAATGATCAAAAAGCATCTTCTGATTGGTCCTATGAATCATGCCAGATTCAAATGAAGGATTGAAAACAGCAAGTTTCTGATTGGCCCAAAATAACACTTGTTTGATTGGTTGGTTCTGGTTACTGCAAAGATGGTGTCACTGTATTAGAAGTGTCCCACACCTTGCCCTGTGTTACAACCACCACTTCTGGCCCAGCCGTACCTGTGACCATGATGGCCACCAGCCTGGCTGGAGACTGCCTCAACCATTAGGCACCAGGACATGCTCCTCTTCTTCCTTCAGCAGCCACCCAGGAAAGCCCCTTCTGGATCTTGGATCTTTCCTCCTGGCATTTGGACCTCAGGGCTCCTGAGGAATTTTTATTGCATCATCTGACAGTAATTAACCACTGGGTCCTTGTTCTCTCATTAAGGGAGACCCAGGAAAGGCTTACTCCCAACAGAAGTGTGAAGAAGATACCAGGTTGCCTACTTGTACCACCTTCCCACTCCCAGCCCAGGCCCCTGGCCCAGACTAGAGGCCACCACTGTGCCCAGCCACATCCCTTCTGTGTAGATGTCATCTTCACCCCCACAATGGCAGCTGATAAGGGTTAAAGAGAATCCCTTCTTAAGGCTGGGCACTTCCATGCCTCTAAGACCCTGTGGAGTATTTTGACTGTATTATCTATCTAGCAGCCTCTTCTCCAGCCCTTCTTGGGTAGTTTCTCTCCTACTCATCAACACAACTGCCATGATTTTTGTTTTCAGCTTAAACAATAGGAATGTATTTTCTCACAGCTCTGGAGGGCAAAAGACTGGGATTAGAGGTCAGTGAGGCTGATTTCTTCAACAGCCTTTTCTTTGGCTTTAGATGTCTATCTTCGGACAGTCTTCTTCCCATGTGTGTGTGTCTGTGTCCAAACTTCCTTTCCTTTTTCCCCACAGTTTAAAACTATGCATATTTACAAAGAACAATTTGATTTTTTGATATACATAATACATTGTATATGTCAAATCAGAGTACTTATGCATTTATTATCTCTTGGTATCTTCCCAAAAGAGTTAAAGTCATCATATTACAGTGATCCATGCACGCTCATGTTTATATCAGCATAATTCATAATAGTTAAATCTTGAAAGAGGCCTGTATGTCCATTAACAGATGCAGGGATTAAAGAAAATGTGGTATTCATACCCAATGGAGTACTACTTTCCCATAAAAAAGAATACACTTGAGTCATTCGTAGAAAAATGAATGCTCCTTGAGACCATAATGCTAAGTGAAATAAATCAGACACACAAGCTTAAATATTGCATGGTGTCTCTTATATGAGAAACTCAAAGTATAAATAAATTCAAGAGTAAAATAAAAGATAGATAAAAGGAAACAGGGAGACAGGTCTGTTGCAGATGAGAAGAGGACCAAGATGGAGGGAGTGGAGGAGGGGAGAGAAGGGGATGAAAAAACAAATAAGATGTGTTATGAACATGTATCAACCCACACGAGGAATGCTTAGCATGTGTGAGGCCCTCTGTGTCCACAGCACATAAAAACCGCCCCACAGCCAACACAGGCCCGTAGCTGCCATTCTGTCGCTCACAGGCTCATGGCCACCTCGGGGAATCATGGCTGAGGCAGAGGCTTAACAGCTCCTAACACAGCCACCCAAGAGGAAGCTGACCTGCTGTAAGGGGGACACCTGTGCAGTGGCAAGGACAGAAGGAGAATCCTGGTGCTCAGTGCCAGATGCCTCTTCCTCCTGAGATCCAGCTTCCCCTGCCTTTGGCAAAATGTGGCTGCTCAAATTCTCCTTGCTGAGCCAATAAATTTCTTTTTTAATTTTACTTATTACTTAATTTATTTATTTTTGCTTGAGCTGGCTTTCTGTCGCTTGCAACCCAAAGAATCCTGATGAATGCAGGCCTAAAGGAAACGAATTGAGTGGTGGGATTTCAGCAGGATGATCAGCTGTTGGTCAGGAACTGAAGTCAGCAACAGCCCTGCTGTGGGGTGCAAATGAGTTCCTTACAGCCAAGCTCAGGCTGATGGGATTTGTGTGTAAATGGCTTCTTTAATGGCGATGGACTCCTTGAGAGTAAGGCTGGGGAGAGGGGGTGGATGCACACCAGCAATCTGTCATGCCTGACCTAAGTGGGTCCTTCACAAACAGGACAAAAGCAAACAGGCCGCTTTCAGCAAAGGACAGGCTATTTCTCAGTGAACAGAAGACAATCTCCCCCCACGCCAAAAAGTCCAGTGAGTGTCCACCCACCTGCTGACTGCCCTTGGACTCAGTCATAAACTTTTCACTCCAGATTCCTTAGCCCCTTCAATACCTACATAAGCCTAATTCCTTTCCCAGTTAGCTCCTAATATCTCTCTCCTGGTGTGAGCCCATCCACTCAAGGGTGAAATCACTCCCAGCTAGCTGCTGCTATCTCTCTCCCAATATCAGCCCATCTACACACAGATATTATAAACTTGGCTTTTCCCAGATAGCTGCTAGAATCTATCCCCTATTTTAGCCCCTGATTTTAGTCTCTAGAATAGACTTTTCTTCACAAAAAGCCTGACTCCAGCAAGTGGTTTTACGTGCGCCATTTATAACACAATCCTAGTACTTGAGAGGCTGAGGCAGGAGGATCACCACAAGCACTCGGTCAGCTCGGGCTACATAGTGAATTGAAAGACAGTCGGGAACACTCAGCGAAACCCTGTCCCTCCACCCTACCCCCCCCAAAAAAAAAAACAGAAAGAAAGAATTTAGTCGGACTACAAGTTCCTGCATCTTCTGAACTGAGCTTCACCTTCAGCAGAAATCCACACTCATCAAAAGCCTAGGCACACACCTGGTGCCCGTAGGTTTCCGGGCTGATATTGAAGTATGGAGGTGTGAAAACAAGTAAGGAAGGGAAGGCAGAACAAGCTGGGACCAGGTTGTGAAAAATACAATTTAAATGTAATAAAACAAGAGTGAGTGGCAGCGGCGACAGCAAACGTGAATTAGGCTTGATGGATGCCTGGCTCTGTAGGGAAAGCGTCAGAAGCACCATCTCACTTAACCCTCTCATCAGGCAGACTCACAGAGCAGACCCTCATGGCCGCTTTTCTTTACGGCTAAGAAAGACCGACCCTCAGAAAGTGGGGCAGCCTGGCCAAGGTCACACAAAGAGAGAAGAGAGTGGGTTCAAATCCAGCCTGGCTTCCCCAGAGGCAACTGCATCAGAACAGAAGCCCACCTCCACCTCCTGGGCTCAAGGGACTGACCTGACTCAGGTGACAGTGACCGTCAGAGCCAGTCCCAAGCGGCACCAAAGCCAGGGCCCCTTCTCTTCCTCTATGAAACACAGACTCTCCCTGTGAGCTGAGGTGGGGCCGGAAGCCCAGGACTGTGGTGGATGGGAGAGGCCAGGGCCTTTAGGAAGGGCATGGGTGGGGACCGTGCCAGGGGACACTCCCATCCCCACTGGTGGAGGACTTGTTCTTCAGACCCCCATACATGATCCACCCAGATGCACAATGACTGGGTAGCTCTCAGAGTAAAGTGCTGTACGCAAAGCTAGGATTCTTACCTGGGTGTTTCTGACCCCTACGGCCACACTCTGTTCACAGCAGAACACTGCTTTCTGCAGGTGTTTGCTTATTTTGTACTTCAGATGGAACCCAGGGCCTTTGCACTGAGCTACATCCCTAGACCTTTATTTTATTTTACTTTTTGTTTTGAGACAGGATCATGGAAGTTGCCCAGACCGGGCTCAAACTTGCCATGCCCCTGCTCAGCCTCTCAGAGTGCTGCAATTACAGGCATGGACCACAAATGCTTGGCTTCCAATTTTTATTTTAATTACCTTACGCCCCTTTGGCATCATGGCCGTGCAATGACGAGGGGCCAGCTGTCTCCAAGGCTCAAGGGATTGTGTCAAGCCCTGGGTTCTGCCCGTGGTCAGGATCCTGCTAATTTCTCAGGTATTTCTCTATGATCAGTTGTGTTGTTAGATTTGCAGATGCTCCCAAGCTGAGAGCCATACCCTACACAAAGCCGCTTTGGGAGGATTCCACCCAGGACATTATTTGAGGAAATCTCCAAACATTAGCAACTCTTTTTCACAGGGGAGGAAAACATTGTCTTCCTAATCTGTATCCTTGGTGAAAAAGCACCCATTTGTTGAAATGCTTCAAATGCGTTTAAATGTATTCTCTGAAGTCAGGCTCAGATAGATGTGAATATATAACTGAAAGCTCTCTGGCTGAAGAAAAGGATCAGTAACAACTTCTAAACGAGCTGTCAAGAAATGTGGTAATTGGAGAAAAAAACTTAGCTTGAGGCATCCATGCATCCTCACTGTTACATAAGCTGTTTCTTTCTCCTTCTGCTTCCTCCAGAGGTAAGAAAGGACCCTTTCAACCCTTCAGAGGTCAAGACTAATTTGAGAGGTACAAACTCATATATGGTTAAGGGGTCCCACTAGACCCTTGACCTTCACAAGGTTAAGAAAAGGAGAAAGCTGGGTGTGGTGGAGCACACCTGTAATCCCAGCACTCAGGAGGCTAAGGCAGAAGGATCGCTGTGAGTTCAAGGCCAGCCTGGACTACATAACGACACCCTGTCTCAAAAACCAAATCAAAACAAAACAAGGAAGGAAGGAAGGAAGCTGCTCTGCTGCTAGTCCTCCTGTGATGACTGGTAAGAGAGGGAGCAGATCAGAGAAGCCACCGGGAGGTGAGGAGTCCCTGAAGGATGTCGTTGTCAGCCTTGTAGGAAGCATGTCGGCAGTGGTAAGCTCCAAGAGGATTCCCCGTGACAAGATGCAGGGCATTTCAGAAACATCATCTCCCCAGCAGCCAGGGCAATGCTTAGTGTTGACCCTTCCAATCTCACCCGGTCTGACAGCAACTCCCATGTAAAACAAATGCATGGGAGGTGACCTTGCACAAGGTCACAAAATGAGGAGGTGGCAGAATTGATGCTCATTTTCAAGCTGTGTGTAGCTGTGCTCCAAATCTGTGCTGTATTTGTAGATGATCTTGAGGTGAGAGGTCAGGTCTGCTTGATTTTTTTTACTCTATTCAAAACAAAACCTTAAGGCTGAGGATGTAGTTTAATGGTGGAGCAAGTGCCTAGCACACCAGAAGTCCTGGTTTCCATTCAAGCAAACAAACACACAAACCCAAGGAGCCCCCATAATCTCAATCAGTTCTTCATCAAAGTGGTTGAAGGGGTAATTGTTGTCCAGGCCCGCATCTCCCCCTTTTTTGGCCCTTTCCTTTTTCCACTTTCTCCTGCCCTAACACTGACCTCAGCCCAGTCCTGTCCTGTCTGCTTGTTCCCTCTCTCCAGGCAAAACCCACTCCCTGGAATGGAACAGGTGCACACATCCACAGCAGAGGATGCTAGAGCAACTGCCTCCTAGCAAGAAGACCAGATTGGCCTATGTAGGAGGCATTGGTATTTAGTGTTAGAACTTCAGAGAGCTTCTAGTAGGGGAAAATCACATCTGAGGCCCCACAGTGATCCCAATAAAGAGTGGCCTGCGTGCATTGTCAGTCAGGTCAATGTCGCCAACTTTGTTGGTTTGGGCCAGCTTCAAGGAGATGTGCAGGACCTGGAATCATCTGAACTGTTTTCCCCCGGGCAGGCACTGGAAGTTGAACCTAACAGCCTCCTGTCTACTGGTGTGGTATCAGTGGTGGGTCTTTAAGGGTCACAGCTCTGCAGGCAACCAGGTCAGGACTGGGCTGTCATTGTTGTCACACTGGGGAGAATTCAGCAAGTCGCTGAACTGGGTGCGCTAAGCTTTACCTCCTCCCTCTGAATGATGGGAACTAGAAGAACCTACCTCAGAGCATTGTGGGAAATTCACTTGGATGTTGGTGCCTTAAAGGGCTCCATCAGTATGATCTTAGTGGTGGAGCAAGTGCCTGGCACACCAGAAGTCCTGGTTTCCATTCGAACAAACACACAAACCTGAGAAGCCCCTGTATTCTGAATCACTGACTCCTGCCTCAGAGGCCAGACACCTGGAGGTGAGTAGTTTTCCTATAAAGTTGGGGGCTGAACCTTTCAATAACCCATTTCTTTATCCAACTTCAGAGAGATATTCATGTCTAAAACAATAGGAAATCCATTGCAAAGAAAGAAAATGGGTTCTTTCTTAAACAAATGGAAGTTTAATATTCTAACTTTGCCCTAGCATTTATGAGTCACTGAAATTAATTGGGTTTGGTACTGAAAGAAGCAAATTATTCTCCTTATGTTTTCCTAATCAGCTCCCTGGAAAGTATTTCTAAAGAGAAAGCAGCATGTCACGTGTGGTCAACATTATAACACAATTGGCCCTTAAGCTAACAAGAAGAAAAATGTTACATTTGATTAAGCCTTCTGGGAAATAGCAGGAAGAACAGTGTGTGACAATTTCAGTCTTCCTCAGAGGTCAGCATGGGTCACACTTGAGAAACTATGTAAAATTTATATGTCTTTTCATCAATAGTTAAAATGTTTACCCGTAGTTTAAAATATCCCTTTTTTTACCTGAGCACCTGATGGTGTCATCGGTTTCCTTTGTATCCTTTCTTTAACACACAAGGAAACTCATTAAAGAAATACAGTACAGCAAAAGGAAAAGGAGGTCCTTCAGACTCTGCCTCTACAAACCCAAACCAGACACTGAGAAGGCACCTTAACTTCCGCATACATCACCCCCCCCCCCATCTGGATGCATGGCCACCAGCCTTGGGCAAGCCCTTGACCCCTGGAGCGCAGCATGCGCAGCGATCGATGGAGAACAGGTTGGCAATGTGAGGTCACAGGCCCTCCCCCGCCCACTGAATCAGAATTTGCATTTTAACAAGATGCTGGGTGATTCAGATGTAGCTCAAAGTGTGAAATATTCTGCCCCAGGCCAGATCAGGAGTGGAGCCCCAGATCCTGTGATATCTACCAAGCTGTCGTGGCTCATCACAGACACAATTTAGTGATTCTTCATTTATATCCCTGTTTCCGGCAGAGAAGCCTTCTTCCAATCCAGCGTATAGCTTGCCAACAGAAGAATCTCCCTAAAGTATATTTAGTAGGGCTGCTTCCCTGTTATAAACCCTTCAACAATCCCTGGAGAGGTAGCAGGAAGAATAGTTGTCATTGTTATTGCTGCTATGCATTGGGGTTTCTGTGGTGTTGGAGGTGTTTGGGTGACCGGTTCCTAATCTGGAAATCTTTCACTCTCCAACTCTTTTCTTTTTCTTTTTAATTTTTATCAGTACATGTTTGTAGTGCATAATGTTTACATTCACTGTGGGGAATTGGTACATATACATAATGCATCTCAATTTTTTTTCCTCCTTCTCCATCATCCTTCCCCCTTTTTGCCAGCATCAGATTGATTTATCTTATAATTCTTTATTTTTTTTTTTTGGTACAAGGGATTGAACTCAGTTGAGGCACCACTGAGCTAAATCCCCGGCCCTCTTATAATTCTTATATAGTTAATTATGATACATACAGATTAACACCCAGACTAATAGGCAAAAAACATATAAAACACATAAGACAATTATACTAAATCAAGGTACACTTAGATACATCGTCCATGCTGGATTATAATTCCCCCCCTCTCTCTTTCCTATTATCTGTGTTTTATTTTGCACTTTATTTATATATTGAGTTTCTCATATAAGAGAAACCATGTGACATTTAAGCTCGTGTATCGGATTTATTTCACTTAACATTATGATCTCAAGATGCATCCATTTTCCTACAAATGACTCAAATGTATCCCTCTTTATGGCAGAATAGTACTCCATGGTATGTAAATACCACATTTTCTTTATCTATGCATCTGTTGATGGACATATAGGCTGCTTCCAAGATTTAGCTATTATGACTTGTGCTGCTATAAATATGGGCGTGCATGGATTCCTGTAATATGATGTCTTTAACTCTTTCAGGAAAATATCTACAAGGGAAATAGCAGGGTCAAATGGAATTTCTAGTTTTAGTGTTTTGAGGAATCTCCATACTGATTTCCATGATGGTTGTACTAGTTTAGACTCCCATCAACAATGTTGAAGGGTCCTCCCTCCCCCGAAGCCTCACCACATTTGTTATTGGTTGATTTCTTGATGACAGTCATTCTTTCTGGAGTGTGATGGTTGATTGATTGTGTCAACCTGAGTAAGAGAAGCTCAACTACATTGGCTCAGCAATTCCACACCATAGGGTGTGAAAGACCCACCTCAGGGTGGCTTGTCACTTGGATGGTATAAACAGGAAATGAAGAAGGACAGACCTGCTCCAGTTTTTTCACCTTGGAAGTCATCTCCTGGCTTCCAGCTCAAACTCTTCAGCTTCCAGCATAGATCCTTCAGCCTTCCACCGCAGACCTCCTGATATGGACCTGCACGGAACACTGCAGTGAGCTCCACACCTTCAACTGGATCCTTCGGTCTCCAGCACACAGACTGACCCTCTGCCCTCTTCCACATCTGATTCTGTGGGTGACCATTGTAAGCCAATGTGTAAATTCATATATATATATATATATATATATATCATGTATTATATCTGTTTCTCTAATAAACACTGCCTGATACATGGAGTGGGATAGAATCTCAGTGTTGAGATTTTCCAACTCTTGAACGGAGCCAACAGCATCCTCCCAGTGTAGAAACTGAGAAGCCCAGTCAAATATCTCAGAATGTCTTAGTCACTTTCTTGTTGCTAAGACACAATGCCTGACACCCACAACTCTAGGTAGAAGATATTCACTTAGGCTCACAGTTTGTAGAGGTTTCGGTCTATAGTTGGCTGGCTCCAAGGCAGGCCGGCGTGGCAGAGGAGCATCACAGAGGGATGCTGCTCACAACATGGCAGACAGGAAGCAGAGAGAGATCATGAGAGGAGGAGGGAGACAGACCTTTCCAGGCCACGCCCACAGTGACCACCTCCCCACCAGGCTTCACCTCCCAACATCACATTCAGGTACAACTTCATCAAGGGACTCATCGACTGATAAGTACTAAGCCCCCATGATCCAATCACCTCCTCAAAGCCCCGCCCATGAGGCTCTGGGGACATCTAGCTATAACCACAACACAGACCTTCTGGCAACCAGAGCACAGACACGTAACTGAGGTTTGGCTAAGCTGATCCTCTCAGAATTTTGAATCTGGAGTTAATGACAAAAAGAATCAAACCCAAATGAGCAGTCCTAACATCCGATATCTAGAAGTGACAGAGGTGACCAGGGCTGAAGGCTCAGCTGTCTTGACTAGAACATCTAGTGTTCAGCAGCGAAAGTGGGTCACCCTCCGCGGTCTGGTTGTAAGGTTGATTTTTACCTGGGGCTCTGGCTGTGTATTCTCCTTTTGCAGCTTTCCATTGAGCAGTCCCAGCTCCTGGTCTTGCTGGCCATTCAAGAGCTACCCAGTGTCCTTTTAGTTCATTCCTTTCTTGTTGATATAATCAGCCTTCCGTATGTGGCTTCTGCCTTCGTGATTCAGCCAACCACTGAAAATACTTAGGAAAAAATTGCACCTGTACTGAACACATACAGACTTTTTTCTCTTGTTATTATTACAGAGACTACAACACACTATAACACTATTTACATGGCATTTACATTGTGGAGGGCACCATAAGCAATCTGAGATGATTTAAAGTCCACAGGAGAATGTGTGTAGGTTCTGTGAAAATGCTACACCACTTTATATAAAGGATGTGGGCACCCATGGACCTTGGTATCCATGGGGGTCCCCGAGCCCATTCCTCATGGACACCAAGAGACAACTACATCTTCTAGAGCTGTTCCTTTTGCTTGCAGTTAAGACCCCCATAAGTCCAGCCATCTATAAAAATCAAGTCCAAGCTCCTTCACCTGGACCACAAAGCCCCACTTCATTTGTATTCGTGATGGCAGAAACATGTTAACTCTCAAATCCCAGAATTTAACACAGTATTTCTTGTGTATATTCAGTTCAAAAGGTGCATTTTTTTATTTAAGAGTTGTTCAAGAATTCAACTGTGTTAGTCACTTTCCTCATCACTAGAACAAAATGCCCAATATCTGCAATTTAAAGAAGTTTATTTAGGCTCACAGTTTCAGAAGTTTCAGTCCATGGTCAGTAGGTTTAAATGCAGCAATGCATGGTGAGAGGACAGCTGCTCATGGCATGGCAAACCAGAAGCAGAGAGAGATGGAAGAGAAAGATACCTCCTTGGTCTCTGCAGATTCTGCCTGATGTCAGGGCTGGGGTGGAGGCTACAGAGGTGGGCAATGGGATCTCGGCTGTGGACATGAGAAGGGTGTGGAGTCAGGAATCAGGCAGGACATGATGTGATGCAGAATTCCATCCAAAGTAGTCTCAGTGTGTGGCACAAGAGAAAATGTTTGCTTTTCGGTCCAAACCTTCCTCCCTCTAGCTGAGAAAGGAACCTAGAAATAAGCTCTTTTTTCCAGACTGATGTTTCCACCTTCAAAGACATTCTCCATCAGTTCAGCCCTGACTCCTGGTTTCCCCTTGGGCTCATCTACCCCCATGAGGAGGGTGAAGAATTTGGAAAGATGAGTTCAGAAGCACAGTCTCACCAGATCCTCACACAACCAAGATGGAGATTGTGATGACTCCTTTCATACAAATGAAAAGGCTCGAGGGGTTAAGGAAGTTGGGTGAGGCCCCAGAGTGAGCAGGTGGCAGGGTCACATGTAAGCCAGATCCTGGACAGCCCTGGATCACTCTCATGGACCTGCTGGTTTTCACTCTCACTGTCCAAACAGCATCTGTGAATTCTCAATGAATGGAGCAGGCTCGCTGATGGGGCAGAGGGTACCTGGGGCCGCTGGATGGGGGAGCTGAGGTCAGGGGCTTGGATTTTAGGAATTGGCTGGGGACTGAAGACTCCTCTGTGCTTGGAGGGGTGGGAAATGACAGCTTTCACCACCACTACTGCTGTAGACTGAATGAGACACCCCCAAGTTCATATGCTGAAGTCTCAACCCCCATGTGATGGTGTCTTAGTCACTTTCCTTGTCACTGTGACACAATGCCCAACACCTAAAACTTGAAGGCAGAGAGCTTTATTTTGGCTCATAGTTTGTAAAGTTTCAGTCCATGGTCCAGCAGCTCCAAGGCAGAGGGGCCAGGTGGAAGCACCCAGTCATGGCACCCAGGAAGCAAAGAGAGAATGAGGGTGGAGCCGGGGAGGGAAACCCACCCTTCCAGGTCATGCCCCCAGTGACTCAGCTCTTCCCACCACCCCCACCTCCTCCCAGCAAGTCAGGTATAAACTCCCATAATCCAATCACCTTCCAAAGATCCCACAATGGTCACATGAGGCTTTAGGAGGACATCCAGATATAAACCCTAGTAGATGGTGTCAGGGAATGAGGCCTTGGGGAGAGAGCTGAGTTTAGAAAAGGTCTTAGAGTTGGGGCCTTCATCATAGGATTATTGCCCTTGTAAGGAGAGGAAGACACTCTAGATATCTCTCTCCCTCCCTCCCTCCCTCCCTCCCTCCCATAAGAGGACACAGTGAGAAGGCAGCCATCTCCAAACCAGAAAGAGAGCCCTCACCAGAACCTGACCACACCAGCCTTGATATCATACTTCCAGGTTCCAGAACTGAGAATCAGTAGATAAACCCAGTGAGCCTATGGTATTTTGTTAGGGAAACCCTAGTCAACTAAGACAGACTTTGACTTCTGATGGTCCATTTCATGTGTTACCTTGACAGGACGAGATATATCAAGTCTAACCACCTTTGGAGGGTCATCTTCTCTGGTTTTACTTAAATGTATGTCCAGAGAGAAGCAAAGAGGTAAGAAATGTCCTAGCTTCCTTTCTGGGGACAGGTCACAGCCCTCTGTGATACCTTTATCATCCAGCCCCCAGTGAAACAGTGAAACTATGTTTGGAAGCCCCAGTGGACCATTTGGCCCAGCAGATGGAAGGCCAGGAGGAAGCAATGACTGGATGGGACCCAGGCTTTCTGCTCCTTCTCCCCCTTCATTTTATCACTAAGTTTAGTCCAGGTCTTTCTTGGTGTCTTTCTGGATATCTCTGGATCCTTTCTGGATCTTCCTCCTAACTGGTCGTTGTGACACTGGTCTCTTTCCTCCTGTGCACCCCTCGCCATGAAGCTGGAGACATCTGGCCTGGACTTGTCCCTTCCATTCTTTTTGCTTCAGAACATGGGCTCTGGAGCCAGATGGGCCAGGTTCACATCTCTGTCCTGCTGTCACTAACTGTATTTCTCTAATGAGTAACTCAGTTTTCCCTTCTGTAAGGTGGGGGTGTGGTACCCCCATGAGTGACAAAAATGTCCTAATCTGAAGAAACTGCTGCGAATGTGATTGTATAGTGATTTAAAAAGAGGTTTTCACAGATGTAATCAAGTTAAGGGTCATAAAAATAAGAGTTATACCTGGATTCCCAATCCTATTCCACTGATCTATCATCTAGCTTTATTTTTATTTATTTATTTATGTATTTATGGGTCTTGCTAAGTTGGCCCAGCTGGCCTGAACTTGAGATCCTCCTGCTTCTGTCTCCCAAGTAGCTGGGATGAGAAGCATGGCTTACCATGCTTGGCTGAGTCAGTTTTGAAATGGTTTATAATGTACATCCCATAAAATTTATCCTTCTAAAGTATATAGTTTAGTGTCTTTTAACATATTCATAAAATTTTGCAATGTGGAACCACCACCACTAAGTCCAAAACGTCTTTATCATCTGTAAAAAATTTTTTAGCCTTTCTGGTTTTGTTGCTGTTTAATTGTTGTTTTGGTTTGGTTTTTTTCTTTAGTTCTAGGCAATTGAATCCAGGACTGCAAGCTTGGTAAGGACGTGCTCTGCCACTGAGCAACCCCACCAGTGACAAATGGGCTTTAGCATCCTGGTTGCTCTTCCCCTGAGGTTAAGGTGACCATCACACCCTGGGTTGTCTGAGGTCTTCTTAGTTGTTTGGGGTTTTTTTGTTGGGTTTTTTTGGTACTGGGGATCACTCGGGTCCTTGCGCTTGCAAGGCAGGCGGCAGAACCACTGAGCTAAATCCCCGGCCCAAGCATCCCCGATACACTTCATTGCTGCCTTCCCTCGTCTGAACCACTTCTCCACTCTGCTATCTTCATCTCAGGGTCTTCGGGCCAAACACAAACCATGACAGCCTCACAGCCAGCTCTTGGATGGAGATGACCAGTGCTTTCTCAAACAATAGTGCAGGGCTCTCTGACAAAGGAGTTCTGGTCCTTCTTCCAGCAAGGAGCTGCTTCTGAAGCCCCCTCACGGAAAGGCAGGAATCCGGCTACCTTGCTGGACAGACCCTCATGTCCCCCAACACACTCACCCATGCCCAGCCCAATCTCTCTGGTCTCCATCTGAGGGCTCAGACAAGTGGATCAGTGCTTCAAGTTCTGCCTCTTGTCCTCATCAGGTCCCTGTGATCCAGGGTGCCCAGCCGCCTGCCTGTCAGTACTTGGGGCTGGCTCCAGATCCCGGTCGAACTGCAGCAGAAATGCAGAGAAAAACAAAATCAGGACACAGGCAGCTGGAGCAAAGGGACCCCAGGGATGATGGGATCTGAGCAGAGCCACACCCAGGGCACCCAGCTGCCCAGGGTCCATGCATGACCTAGGCTTTCGACCCCGCTGTCCACAGGAAGCTGCACAAAGGGCCAGCCCTCTGCTTGTGGTCCCAGCAATGGACCACGGGCATCACTGTCTCCCAAGGCCAGGTGGGCTGTGGCGCTGGTCCCGCCCACACCATGAGGCAGAAGTGACCCTGAGTCACCAAGGCAGTCTGAGCCCCGTGTGGCTGTCCATCCAGGTCCTTGGTCCTGGCACCCAGTCGTCATGCTCAGAGGAATCCACCTGTGGGCCCTGGGCCTCCAGATGTTCCTGCCTCAGGGTTCAAGTCTCGAAGCTGAGCACAAAATGTCACAGAGGACAGGCGTGACTTCTTTCTTCCCTGAGTCAGACCCACAGAGACTGTGAGATGTGAATGATTACTGCTGCTTCAAGCTCGGGGCTCCAGTCGAGTCCATGTTGGAACGATTCTTACACAGGGAGAGATTACTTATCCACACAAAATGTCCTTGGTTGCCTTAGAGAGTAACCTAAGTGTAAGTGGCCCCAGATGGGAGAAATATATGAGGCCAGGTACAGCCGTTTACACTTTAGTATGAATTGCTCATCTTTGGCACTACTCCTCTATCCCTTCCAGAAAAGTGATAAGGTTGAAAGCATTCAGAAATAGGAGATAGTGCCAGGACCTAGCACACTAAAGGACAAAAGTGAATGTAGGGTACTTTATAGGAAGAGATCCGGACTGGGTCTTAGTTCTAATCATGCCCCTAACACAATTTTCTGTAATATATGCAAAGGTCTCCGCCACTTATGAGATATGATCCAAAACTATGGTGAATGTGTAAATTAAAAATTTTTAATTTATTACAATAAAAGACACATTATTATGAATCCCCCTCAAAATATTCCCCTTCACTCCAGGCACACTTATCCCATCATTAGCACTTTCAGTGGCAGTTCTGAAAGTCCTCTTTCCTGAGTGTCTTTTCGTGGCTGCCTCAATGTCCTGAATAGATTCAAAATGTTTAGAGCATTTTTCGTTGGACGAAAACATTTTGATGTGTCCTTATCCACCTTATTCACTGGATCTGGTACCATGAGACTTCTGGCTCCTCCCTGAAGTCAAAATGACCGTGAAAGGTAAATGTTTTGAATCAATCCAGGACATCAAAGCAGCCGTGACAGCGTAACAGAAGACACTCGTGAAAGTGGACTTCCAGACCTCCTCCAGAAAATGGCAAGAACGATGGGATAAGGGTGCTCAAAGCAAGAGGGGGATTTTGAGAGGGATTCATAGCAACATGTTTTTTACCATAGTAATTATTAAAAAAAAAAAAAAAAAAATTCTAAACATTCACCATATTTTTGATCACACCTCCTAGTAGCTATGTGACCTTGAATATATGCTCAGTTTCCTCATTTACAAAATACTTACAAGAATATTATCTATTGGGCCGGGGATTTAGCTCAGTGGTTTCGCCACCTGCTGCACAAGCGAAAGGACCTAAGTTTGATTCCCAGTACCAAAAAATAAAATTATCTATCACCCAAGATTTCAGGGAAAATCAAGTAGGACAATTGTCAGAGAGGCAAATGGTCCATGTAACTCGGGACAGGACATCCTGTCAGGGCTCAGCAGGTCAGGGTTCTAGTCTACACTTCAATAGTAATTGTCTCTGTGACTCCTCGATAACCCCAAGCCATGTGATTCCCATGGGCCCAAGCCTCCCAGTGACCAGGCCAGGTAGCAAAGTAAGGTCAAGGTCAAGGTCAAAGTAGGGCTAAACTGTCAAGGTGAGGACCCAGGTACAGTTAAGGGAATCCAAGGAGCCCCACTGTCAGAACTTACCGGGCAGGTGTGCCCAAGACGGACCAGGATGCAGCTGCCTGGTGCTGGGGCCGTCCCTGTCCCTGGGACAGAGGAGTCAGTGTGACATTCCAGCCAGAAGCCCCAGCTCCCCCTCCTGGCCACTCCTCTGCTCCTCAGTACCAGCCGGGGGCAACAGTTAGGGGCCCTCTTGGTAAGGTGAGGGTGACGATCTTCTGAGTAGGGGCAGCTGGCGTTTCCCAAAGTCAGGGACGTGATGGTTTAGGCACAAATGTAGGAGAAAATGCATAGATTGATCCTTCAACAGAAAATTGCGAGCTTCCTCCACCCCACCCTCCCAGCTTATAAAAAAATCAATTAGTTTAAATAAAAATTAAAATCTCCCTTCTGTTTTCTTCCTGCCCTTCCAATTATAATAAGGAGAAGGTATCAGCTCAGTGCTCCTTAGACTTTCCCACCTCTGTAGCTCACTTGAGGACCCCTCTCCAACAACCAAAGCGCAGGCCTGGACCTCAGAGCCCTCCCAGCACTCAGGAGGCTGAGGCAGGAAGATCACATCAAGTTCAAGGCCAGCTGGGGCTACACAGTGACTTCAAGGCCAGACTAAACTACATAGCAAGATCCTGTCTCAAAAAAAACCAAAAACAGGGCCCAGGGATTTAGCTCAGTGGTCCCGCTGCCTGCCTTGAAAGTGGAAGGATCCAAGTTCGATCACCGCTACCAAAAAAAACAAACAAAAAAACAAATTAATAATTAATTAATTTTTAAAAATGTGTTTATTTTTTTAAAAGCAAATATATTTCAAAGTCTTACCTTACCTCACCTTATGCCATAGCTGGTTCTGAGACACAAACAAAAGGTGGTGGATTCTCCAAGGACCAGAATTTGGGCAACAAGGCCAAAGCTCCAAAGGGCAAGGACCACATCCCCAGGACATCAAATGGGCAGCCCCACAACCATAACTAAAGCACATTTCCTAGTCCTAGGCTGTGCCCATGTTCCCCTGTTCTCCTCCCAAGGTCTCAGGGACTCCTGTCTCTTTCTTGTCCCTGCCAATTTTGCCGGCACATTCTTTAGTACACACTTGGATGATCTGCCACATGCATTATTTATAAACCAGAAATACCATTTCTGGGAATTTATTTTCATAAAATAACCAAAGACATACTCAAAGACACTGAGAAACATTGTAGCCACATTATTTAGGATGGGGAAAAACTAGGAACCAACTGCAGGGCCAACAGTAAGGGACCAGCATAGCCAAAGATGCTGTCCCCCAAATGGGCTGCTCTTGTGACAAGGATGTGCCAAACCCTTTGACAGTTAAGCTTAACTGTCAACTGGATTCACTTGGGGACCACCAAGGGATTAGTAAAGCACACTGGGAGTGTCAGGGTGGGTCCTGGAGGCACAGCCTTGGGGACTTCAGCTGGTCTCTCTACCCTCCCTTTCAGGCTCTGCTCCCTGATCTGCTTGCCAGCTGCCAGGAACTGAGTAGCTTTGCTCCACCATGCCCTTCCGCCATGATGTTCCTGCCTTGGGGCAACCGACCATGGACTGCATCCCCTGAGCCCATTAAACCTCTCCTCCTGACCAATACACTCGGAACCAAGTACTTCTCTGGGAACATTGCAAGCATTAACTTAGGTCACGCTCACAATGCTTCCGCATTAGGCACACTTTACAAGAGACAACACTGAAGCCCAGGGAGCTTACCTGTCTTGCCCAAGGTCACACAGCAGGCAGGTGAGAGCTGGCATGTGAAACTAGGTGATGGAGACATAGAATTCATGTTCTTGGTCACTGTGCTGGGTCCTCTCCTCAAAGCTGAGGGCGGAGGCCAGACTTCCCACAGGAAAGCAAAATTTCCTAATGTGTGAAAGAGACAAACAGGGAATGAAAGCCTGGAAAAACATACACCATATGTCAAAAGGGTGGTTCTGGATGTGGGCTTGTTATTTTTTGTCATTTTGTGTCTCCTTATGCGTTTTCCAGGTTTTCTGTACTGAGTGCTCGTTACCTTTAATAACAGAAGAAAACATGAAAAGATGACTTTCCTACTCAGCTCTTCCATTCCTTGCTGCTTCAAAGATAAGACAGCTGGGCCGGGGATTTAGCTCAGTGGTTTCGCTGCCTGCTGTGCAAGTGCAAGGACCCGGGTTCGATCCCCGGTACCAAAAAAAAAAAGATAAGACAGCCGGTTCTTCATGATAACAAAAAAAAATAAAGATAATAATAGCCAGGCATGGTAGTGCACACCTGTAATCTCAACACTCGGAAAGCTGAGGCAAGAGGATCACTACAAGTTTGAGGACAGCTTGGGCTACATAATGAGCTCAAGTCCAGTGTGGACTACACAGCAAGACCCTGTCTCAAAACAAATCAAAAAATGCAGATAATAATGGCCAACATTTGATGATCTCTTCATATGCTAATGGATTGACAGGCATGATGGCATGATGTCACTTAGCCCTTCACAGCCAGGACTGCTAGGTACAGTTTCGCAGGCCGTGCACTGCACAACTCCAAGACCACCACCAATCCATCCTCTACAAGGTGGACTGTACTGCCCTGTGGTCACAGCTGCCCTGTCAAAGCCCTAAGGGGTGGAGAGCAAAGCCAGTACCACAGCCCAGTGTCTATGCTCTTATTTTCAATTGCAGAGGGGCGATAGATACACAAGGCAGGAAGAAAAAGGCAGAGTAAAATCTGGGCATCCAGATACAACTTTTCAGGCAACCTGGCACCCTTAAAAGGGCTGCAGCCAAAAGGTGGGACTCGCAGGCTCAGGTCCCTGCTCCGTCCCCACCTGGCTAGTGACCTCAGGAACAGTCCCTCTGCCTCTGGGCTCAGCTTCACCATCTGTAAGGCCAGGCGCTTAGACAAGCCGCTCTCCCCACCAGCAACCTGGGAGTCTGCAGTCACAGATGGCATCGCAGCCCCGCCAGATCCGTGCCTCCCACACAGCGCGGCGCCTCCCTGTGCTCACAGTGACCTACTTCGGTGGTGGGGCAAGGAGCCCAGGGTCACCTCCAGGAGCCCGGCCTCTCCTCCTGCCCCTCCTAACACAGCAGCCTAAAATACTTTTCCAAGCTTTCCTCCAACGCCCCGCTGGTGACTCGCCTGCCCACCACTGGCTGTTGCCCTGACTTTCTAAAGCTGCTTTCTTAGTCTGTCCTGCAGCATCTACCGGATGCTCTGTCACACACAAAGGCCAGGCACAGGGCAGTGCGTGCCAGGACTTCGTCACACGTGTGGTTTGTGCAAGAAAAAGAATAAATGATTGACAAGGAAGCAGGTCGGTGGCAGCCGTGTGTCCCCAGGAGGGACGCCTCTGCCCCTGCATGTGCCGGGATGCTCTATCCTGAGCCGAATACCCAGCCCTTTCCACTTTTATTTCAAGGCAGGGCTATTGTCCAGGCTGTCCTCAAACTTGCGATCCTCCTGCTTCAGCCTCCCCAGCTGCTGGGATTACAGGTGTGGGCACCGAGCCTGGCTTCAGTATTGTAAAAATCACCGAGACAATATTCTGATGCTTCCCGGCTGCGTTCCTCTGCAAGGCCCACAGGCTGGCGGCTTCCCCAGTGGAGAGGTATTTTCCCACACTCCTGGAGAAGAGGAGTCCGAAGTCAAAGTGCACTCAGGGCTGGTTCCTTCTGAGACCTCTCCCTGCACATGGACGCAGTCTCCTCCCATGTGTTCCCGAAGTGACAGCTCTGTGTACGTTTGCCAAATGTCCTCTTCTTAGAAGGCCACAGCTGTACTGAATTCAGGTCCATCCCTGTGACCACACTTGAGGACGATCGTCTCTCTGAAGACCTGGCTCCACATACACTGATGTTCTGAGGTTCGGGGTTTAGGCCGTCCACACCTGGGATGTGAGAGACACAGTTCAGCCTTTGATAATTAATATTAATGATGATATAAGCCTGGCATGGTGGTGCACACCTGTAAACCCGGCACTTGGGAGGCTGAGGCAGGAGGATCTCCATAAGTTTGAGGCCAGCCTGGACTACTTAGCAAAAACTTGTCTAAAAAAACATGATGATGATGATATAATAATTCATGGGCTGTACTGATGAGCTAAGCTGCTCGGACCACAGCCCTGTGAGGAGAGGTAGGAGTTCTTATACTCCTTCCCCTCGGAGAGCTCATCTCTCTGATCTTCGTTCTGAGGAACAAAGTTTGGGTGATCCTTGTGGCAAATTGAGAGAGATTTGATTCTGGCCAGCTGGGAGATGGCAAGGCTGCTGGACTAAACACCAGACCTGACCATCCAACAATGTCTCAGGCCTGGGTGGCTCGGAGTGGAGCAAGTGCACCAGCCTCAGGCCTGATTTCCAGCACCACGAATGTGAGATTAAAAAAAACAAAATAAAACATTTAGAAATCCTGGCAGTCCTGCTGGGGAGTGGGATATGATGTTTTGATACATGTATACATTGTATAATATTTAAATCAGGGTAAAATACGTATCCTTTCTTTATGGTGAAAATGCTCAACATCTCTCCTTCTAGCTAGATAAGGTGGCACGTGCCTTGGGTTCAGCTAAAAGGGAGGCTGAACAGGAGGGTCACTAGAGCCCAGGCCAGGGTGGGGAGCACAGTCCCCCTCTCCCTCCCCCTCTGCTCCTCCCCATCTCTTGCGGCACTGGGGATCAAACCCAGGACCTTCACCTGAGCTGCATCCCCAGCCCTTTTTTGGTTTTATATTTTGAGACAGGATCTAAGTCACTAAATCGCTCAAGCTGGGCTAGAACTTGGGATCCTCCTGCCTCAGCCTCCCAGAGTGCAGGATTACAGATATGTGTCACCACCACAGGCAACTAAGACTTCGTCTCTTAAAACAAAAGAAAACGAAAGCTTTCTCTTAGCTTTTTGAACTCTACAGTACATTTGCATCATCTAGAGTCCCAGTTCCTGGTGTCCATCCCTCCTGTCACCTCCTCCCTGGATTTGGGCATGGCAGCAGATGCAGAGCGGTCTCACTCTGTGGTCCTGCGTGTCTCAGAGACCCCAGGGCACAGGTTGAGGGGTTTGCTGGAAGCTGTAGCCCAGACCAATCCTGGGGGATGCATGGATGCATCCCAGGGCACATTTGGGAACACTGCAGGGCCACCTTTCAAAGCAGTTTTTTCAATAAATAAAATAAGAGCATTGATGGAGCATGACACCCTGGGGAACCCTGCGGGATGTGTGGTGCCGTGTGTGTGTGTGTGTGTGTGTGTGTGTGTGTGTGTGGCGTGTGTGACTACACATTGGAAATGGGGCCTTGGGGCCCCACCACTGCTTTCCTGCTGCCCTGCAGGAGGCGACCTTCTTCCCAACAGGATCTACACCAGAGTGTGGTCCCTGAGACAGTGAGACTGTTTCCGCACAGAGCCCCCAATTAGCAGAGCCGTGGCCAAGGATAGCGTAGCACCCCGCATTCCCTCCACTGAGAAAGCAGCGCTCCTCTAATAAATTACAGGCCTCACATCAGCATGGAGGTTTATGGTGAATAAAGCCCTCTCTCATACGCTACTTCCTAGATCAACTCCTTTCAAAAGCTTAGAAACTTGGGCCAGGCTTGGTGGTGTACACTTGTAGTCCTAGCCCTCCAGAGACCGAGGCAGGAGAATCAACAGAACTTCAAGGCCAGACTAGAACACATAGTGAAACCCTGCCTAAAAAATAAATAAATAAATATGCTTAGAAACGTGAGGCCTGCGGGGCAGACAGATTAACCCCAAGCTTATCACCAATACTCTTTTTGCTTAACTGCCCCCACTAAAATAACCTAGGAAAAAACTAAATTTTTTTGTGTGTGTGTGCCAGGGATCAAACTCGGGACCTTGCGCTTGCGCAGCAGGCGCTGGAACCACTGAGCTAAATCCCCGGCCCAAAAAACTAAATATTTACCTTTGCAATTTCCTTTAGAGACCTATGGACAAGTGATCTAGTTCTGGCTGTTGAGACTTAGGCGAAAATCCCCTTTTCTGATAAAGAGTACTGCCCCACCGCCCCCTCCCGCGCCTTAACCAAGGCTGGGATCCCTGGCACTGCTTCAGCCATTTTGCAACTACAAGTTGACCAGACAAAAGTTAAGCACAGCAGAGCAGAAAGACAGCAAGGGTATGGATTCCTGGTGCCATTATTAAGTCTATACTGGGCGTCTTCCTCTGAGTCTTATTATGTAAGAACAATAAACCACTCTTACTGCAGTATTCTGTTACCTACAGTAGGAAGATTTCTAATAGAGATCATCTGTAACAGCAAAACAGTTCAAATTTTCAACAGGAGGTTGAGGAAATAAATTGCAGTGTCTGTGTATCCTACAGGATTCAGCCATCCCCACAGCATTGCTTTTAGGGACTCTTAACCTGTGTTGTTAAATAGCACTGTTAAGTATAGATATTTGGTTGCCATTTTCTGGGCAAGTAAGTAAGTCTTACCAAATTCTCAGAGGTTTCAAGAAGTGTTTAAGAAGCACCAGGACAATTAATATTTGTAGACGTAGAAAGATGAGGGAACACAAATTTATGCAACAAGTCAGCCATGGTGGAATGCATGAGGTCCTGGGTTCCATCTCTAGCATCAAGAAAAAAATAAATAAAAAACAATAGCTCTATTGATTCTGTAACTCGAGCTGATCTTAAGCTGCTCTCTCTTTCCTAGTGGTTGTAGGAAATGTCCTCTTGCAGCTCAAAGTAATGCGGACCCTTCTGGTTCTAAAGGAACTGCCAAGATCCTCCTCATTTCCCGCTCCTTCCCGGCTGGGGGGAGGTGATTTGGTTTCTGAGGTAGACAGATGTGTCACCGGGAATCCCAGAGGTGACACCTGCTCCTCCATCCTCTGCTCCTCCCTGGGCTCTGCAGTGCAGCTTCCTGGTCCTGTCCACACCTCTGATGATTGCTGTCAGCACTTGAGGTCCCTGGGCTGCCCATCCAAATGCCTGCGCTTGCCAGGCCCGCAGGGGCCGATGCGAGATTCCTAATGTGTCCCACCTCCACAGGGATGCCCAAGCCTTCCCCTGGCCGGGGTGCTTTGCCCCTTGAGGTATGGAGTCCAACGTGGACCGAGCGACTTCCAGGAACCTGCACTCAGGCAGAAGCCACAAGGTCCTCTTGCTAACCCACTCTGGCTCCTTCACAGCCCTCTCAGCACCAGGGCTGGAACAGAGCTAGGAGGCCTTCCCAGAACATGCGTTGGGAACCTTTGGGATTCCCTCTTCATGCACCCAGCCAGGCCGCACCAACCCAGCCACGCACCTGGGCTCCCAGGAAGGAGAAACACCCTGGTCCCAAACATTTGTCGGTACTGCTAGGTTTCTGTCTTCTTGAGAGTAGCCAAGAATGTGCCATTTGGTTTTTTGGAGGGGGTTGTTTTGTTTTGGTACCAGGGATTAAACTCAGGACCTCACGCTTGCCAGGCAGGCACTGTGCCACTGAGCTACATCCTGGCCCAATGTGCCATTTGTTTTTATAGCCTGTTTGTTGTCACTTGTGGAAGACACCTGTGAAAGGCCAGGCTGGGGGTGGAAAACAGCAGATAGGAGGTGGCAAGTGCTAGTGGGGACAACTGCTTAATAATGCAAAGCACTCTCCTGCCCGTGTGCACTGGAGGAGCTGGAAAGACCCGCCCCAGGCTGCTGGTGCCTTGCTCCCAGGTGGGGACAGTGCTGTGTAGCAGCGATGCTGGGGATACAGAGAACCCACTTCAGATAACATACATCAATATTTCTTACAGAATAAGGCATCAGTGGTGGGTAGCTGCTGGCATTGGCCTGGCCCTGTGGTCTTAAGGTGGCTGCAGTGCCCACGTTCAAGCGACTAGAGGTGGCAGGGACCCCATCTGCTCCTCCAAGTCTTGCCCTTTCCTCTCAGAACTGGATCACATGGCCACCTTGCTGCAAGGGAGGCTGGGAAACTTGGGGTACAAGAAGTGCTAGGTAAACTGCCTCATGGGGCCTCCCTACCCCAGAGCAGAGCAGAACTATTTTCCTTCCTGTTTCTTGGTATCTTCTTATTTTTCCACTATTAACAAGTATTGTGTTTATAAATGCTACATTTGCTAGGCATGGGGGTACATGCCTGTAATCCCAGCACTTGGGAGGCTGAAGCAGGAAGATCACTATGAGCTTGGGGCTTTGGGAAGGGGCCTGGATTAGGAGGTGACCCAAGACCAGTGTGTAGATCCCCATCATGTCCCTCTCCCACTGTGTGGTAAATTTGGAGGTTGCATGTGGATACAGTGGAGCCACAAATTGAAGCAACCTGAGTCCTTGAGTATCTGCTCATGCAGTAGCCCTGGGGAGATGAGAACCATAGTTACCCACATAGCCTTGTTGGTCAGGGTTGCTAAATGGGTAACCAAATGTGCAGTGGGACATACAATGCCACACTGTTCAGGAACAAAGGGAAAGTGGTCTTGACACATGCGTGACGCAGGAGAACCTTGAAAACCTTACAAAAGACACAGGCACAAAGGTCACATGTTGTGTGAGGCCATGGATTGATGTTTGTTTAGCTGCTGGGGGTGGAAGCCAGCGCCTGTGCGTGCTAAGCACAAGCTCTACCCCAGTCACTCCCAGGCTCTGTAAAATTCCATCCCCAGGATGTCTAGAAGAGACTAAGGCAGAGACAGAATGTACATCAGTGCTGCCCTGGGCGCTGTCTGGGAGAGATAACAGGGATGGAGGTTAATGGATACAGGGTGTCTGTTGTGCATGACAATGTTCTAAAATCCCAGGTGATAGTTACACAACTTTGAGAATAGCTAAAAGCCATTGAATTAGATGATTTAAGTACCCAAATTTTATGAAGCATGACGTTTATCTCATTAAGTTATTTTTTTTAAAGAAATAAATCTTTGTTGTGCTCTGTTACACCCAGTGAGAGAGAACCAACCAGAGACGGATATTAAATCCACACAGGAGTTTATTGCCGGTCGGGACCGAGCCGAGCATCGGACTCGAGCCCCGACTGGGAGGAGACAAACACGTTTTATACACCTTTGAGGCCAACAGTTTCTAGAGCCCCCCACCCACCCATGGGATAGAACTAGCAAAGCAAGCAAAAGGTACAGAAGCGGAATATCCTGCTGTTAGAACATTTGTAAAACAATAGTTGCTTAATTGTTGTTTCTAAAGAGACTTTCTAAGGGGAGGAGGTTTCTAAGCTTCATCCTTCTGAGTTCATCCAAAGGGCAGGCAGGTGGGTCAAGCAGCAATATGGAGTCTGTCTTGCTAATTAGGGTCCTTCATGCTCAATCACTGAGATTTCAGGGTAATTTGTAAGCTCTGTGGCATCATCCTGTCTGCCTTGACGTAACCCCACCATGCCCGGATGTCTATGGTCAGCAGGGCAACAACAGAGTAGGAGGCGTAGTGTGGGGATGTACATCCGGGTGAGCTCATTCTGCCTGGTGAATGGAGGGAGGAGTTAACATTTGAGTTCTTTAATGAATAATGAGTAGAGTTACTCTCTCTCCAGTAATGGATGATAAACAGATAGATGATAGATAGAGGAATGGATGGATGGACAAATGGATAGATGGATGGTGTTAGGACAAAAAGGAAAATAAGTAGGGGTAGGAGCTCAACAGGACAAGTTTACTTCAGTACAAACCTGAGAGGGACTGCTCTCCCACTAGAGACCCGACCAGCAACTTTCATACAGGTTATAAGGTCTTTATAGGGTCATAAGAATAAAAAGGGGAGGCTGTAGAAGGGAAAAGTCACAATGGGACTTTTTGTGGGGAAGAATTCAGTGTACAAAGGACTTGTGGGTGTACAAAGAGTTGCATGTTGTTTGTCAAGAGCAGGGCTGTTTGTCGATGATTGGGAATTATAGGTGTAGCTGTGCTTACCGGGCCTTATCAACCCATGATGATACATCTGCAGCAGGTGTAAAAGCATAGCAGGGGGGAGGGATTTAAAGTGGTCTCTGCTTAGACCAGGATGGCAGTGGTCAGATTCCTTCAGATAGACAAATGGATGGGTAGATGGATGGATGGGTGGATGGACAGACAGATGGATGATGGACAGATGAACAGATGGATGGATGAATGCATGTATGAATAGAGGGATGGATGGATGGGTGGACAAATGGATGGATGATAGGTGGGTGGATGGATGGATGGATGAATGGACAAATGAATGAATGGATATGCAAAATATGAATAATTTATGACAGGGCATGGGCTCTGTTTTAGTTACTTTTTTGTTGCTGAGATAAAATACCCAACACCCACAAGTTAAAGAAGGAAAGGTTTATTTCAGCTTACAGTTTGTAGAGGTTTCAATCTATGTTGGCTGACTCCAAGGCAGGTTGCCATGGCAGAGGGGCGTGGAAGAGGAGAAACTATTTGTGCCATGGCAGGGCAGGAAGAAGGCAGCAAGCAGCAGCAGCACCAGCAGCAAGCCTGCCTTCTTTCTGTCCCTTTATATTCCATCCAGGCTACAGGCCTATTGATGATGCCACCCATGCCCAGGGTGGGGCTTCCACTATCCACACCCTTAATCCCAGTGTCACACCCTTAATCCACATTCAGACACCCCAATCCAACCACCTCTGAAACTCCCAACCCCTGACCACATGAGGCTTTGAGGGGACGTGTAGACACAAGCCATAGCAGGCTTGTTGGAAGAAGATCTTGAGGAAACTGTCCCTGGCAAGATACAGCCAGCATGTGAGACCTGTCATCCAACATGGGCTGAGGGGTGCAGAAGATCCAGCCAGAGAAAGAACTTGAAGGATTTTAGCAAAGGACTGGTGTGGGAATTTGTGGATTTTAGATCGCTCTGGCACCAGGTAAAGATGAAATTCAGTCAGTGACACACTGGGTCAGAAGCTAGGGAGGCTGAGCCAGACATTCTGTGGACACACCATGTTCCTATCTGCCGAAGGGCCCCTCTGGCCAGGGCCACCTGCCTCCCCTCTTTCCCTGGTGGCCCTGCCCATTATTCACGTGTCAGCAGCAAAGTCACTTCCACAGACCAGCAAGCCTGGTTCCACTGCTGAGAGAAGGAAGTTTCCTTATTTTGTGTGAGTGGTTTTTTTTCTGGCAGTTCTTGGGATTAAACCCAGGGAGCATTGCGCTGCATCCTTGCCCCTTTTTATTTCTTATTTGGGGACAGTGTCTCACTAAGTTGCACAGGCTGGGCTCAAACTTGTGATCTGCCTGCCTCAGCCTCCAGAGTAGCTGGGTTCCAGGTGTGCTCCAACATGTCCAGCTATCTTGTGCTTTTATGGTAGTTGTCCTTCTAGTCCATATTTCAGTTGGAATTATAGTTACCCACTATCAACCATGGTCTGAAAACATTAAGTGAAGAATTCCAGAAATAAAGTTTATAAGTTTTAAGCAACTTTTATTACAGTACTTTGCTATAATTGTTCTATATTATGTGTTGCTGTTAATCTCTTAGTGTCTAATTTACAAATTAAACTTCATATGTGTATGTGTAGGGAAAAGCAAGTAGATACAAGGTTTGGTGTTATCTGAGGTTTCAGGGAACCCCTGGGGGACTTGGAATGTGTCCCCCCAAAGATGGAGGATGGCAGTCTTTACCTGTTGGGGGCCACTTGTGTGTGTGTCCCCCTCACTGCAGTGAGCTGGGCTTGTCTTGTGCCCTGCAGGTCCTCGCTGGCTTGTGCATGTCTCACCCACAGGCTGTGCTCGAGAAAACTGTGGGGAATAAACCAAGTGGGTTGGTGAGAGAATTGGTGTGTAAGTCTGGAGTTTTCATAGCTGGCTTAGGGGTGACGTTTCTTCAGTAGGAAAAGAAATGGAGATGGTACTTGTCCCAGTCTATTAGGGGCCCCCAAGCTGCTAGCATCGTGTCACACAATAGCAAGCTCTCCACAGATGACAACAGGACCAGAACAAGAGCGCTATGCCCTCACTGCATCTGGGTAGTAACCTGTTGAGGATTCTAACTTAGGGTTTCTCAAATGTGCTGATTATAGGAAACACCTGGGCCACAAAAGCTAAACACAGTCCATTGCTGGTGGGAGCATAAACTAGTACAACCACTATGGAAATCAGCGTGGAGAGTCCTCAAAACCCTAAAACTCGAAATTCCATTTGACCCAGTTATTCCCCTTCTAGGTATCTTCCTGAAAGAGTTAAATACATCACACCATAGTGATCCATGCACACCCATGTTTATAGCAGCACAATTCACAATAGCTAAATCTTGGAAGCAGCGTATATGTCCATCAGCAGATGAATGGATAAAGAAAATGTGGTATTTACACACCATGGAGTACTACTGTGCCATAAAGAAAGGTAAACTTGAGCCATTTCTAGGAAAAGGGATGCACCTTAAAACCATAATATTAAGTGAAATAAATCAGACACACAAGCTGAATTATCACATGGTTTCTCTTATATGAGAAACCAAAGTATAAACTGATTAAAGAACAGCATGAAAGATAGATAACAGGAAACAAGGAGATAGCTCCTTTGCACATGGGAAGGGCACCAAGAGATGAAGAGCAGTGGAGGGCAGGGAGAGGAAGGGACTGAGATGAGAAAAGAAGACGCGCTCTGTGCACGTACCACCTCTCCCAAGGAATGTCATCATTATGTACTGCAAATATGCACCAATAAAAATTCACTTCTAAAAATGGGTTTTTAAAAAGACAAACGCAGATCTCTAAACCCTCACTCAGGCTGCCCTGACTTGGTGGGCCTGGACTGAGGCCTCCAGTGACTTTCGAACAGGTCTTTTCTGATGAGGCAGGCACATCTCCAAGTGGTGACTCATTGGGTCTGGGCCCAGGCGGCACCGAAGGATGAGGTCCACATGAAGGCAGGAGCCTAAGGGTCCTCTTGCAGGCCACAGACAGCTGGGACAGGGGCCACCCACAGTGTGGCCTGGCGTGGGCTTCTCTAAACCTCCCGGGTGGTCCCACCACCCAGCTCGCCTCCAATGCATGGCTCTGCATTGCAGGTCGAAGCAACCACCGGTAGGAAACTTCTGAGGAAAATGGCATCCTTGCTGTTACTCCCTAACAGTGCAGTGTGACACTGTCTACACAGCATGCACACTGCGTAGGTATGGTGAGCGATCTAGAGGTGATTTAAAGTGCACAGAGAGTGAACTTGGCTCTGAGCAACAGTCCACTATTTTATAGAAAGGGCCGCAATGTCCACGGATTTTGGCATCTGAAGGGAGGTCCTAGTGTCAGTCCCTGAGGACACCAAAGGATGCCTAGGACAGAGTTTGAGAACCACAGGGTTAGGTCAAAGTCAGGTCATTCTTGGCCTGGCATGGAGATGAGAAAAGCTGGTAATCTCAGCACTAGGGAGGCTGAGGCAGGAAGATCACAAGTCCCAGCCCAGCCTACTCTCAGAAACAAAAAAAAAAAACCGTGCCGAAGAGGTAGCTCAATGAGAAGGCCTAATATAGCACTACCAATACCATCATTACTGGCACCATGAGGGATGACACTGGGGTCAGAATCTGCAGTCTGCAAGCAGGAGGGGCCCAGCCACCAGCACACGCAGGTGTGGTCCAGGAGGGACACCCGGCTCTTATTCCTCTCTTGGACCACAAATCATTAAAGCCAAAGCCGTGGGCGCTGGGGCAAGGCTCTATGCCCGGCGGAGTCCTGTCCATGGATGATCCCATTTAATCCTCGCGGCCCTCTGAGTAACAAGGCCACTCAGGTTGGCAGAGGAAGTCCCCAGGTCACCCCACTGGTCAGTGGCACAGCCAGGGAGTGAACACAGCCCTGGCTTGTCACCGCTTTCCATTTGACTTCTCCCCGTGGCGCCAAGCCCCGTCTGTCATGGCCTCCTTTGACCTTTCAGTGAAGAAAGAAAGATTCCTCCTCCCACCATGGAGTAGAGGACGACAGAGCTCTCATCCATCTCCCCAGGCTCCTGCTCTGTGGCCACAGAGGGACTGACTCAGAGGTGGCCAAGGGTGGAAGACAGAAGAACGAATGTACTGGGCACCCACCGGGAGGGGAGAGGTGCTGTGGAGCCCTGGGTCTCACCAGAGCTTCATGCTGTCTGAATTTGCCCCAGGTGGGGATCTGCAGACAAATTCTCTGTTCCAAAGGATTCATACAAAACGACTATAAGCACAGCCATTTAATTTCCTGTCTTAAAAAAAAAAAAAGCCCACTGACATTGTGAACCAGCAGGGAGCATTTAGTTCTAAAGAGCAGTATTGTACTGGTTCTTATTTTATCCCTCCACCCCGGGGCAGGCTGGTCCTGTGTCCTCAGCCAAGGTGACTCCAGATCCAGCTCCATCCACCTGTCCGTCTGATCTGTGGTGCCCAAAAGGCCTTTCAGGGGAGCACAAAAGGTCTCTTTCCATAATTAGAGGAAAGCCAGGTGAGCTCTTTCCGGAGCACGAGGCACCAGAGACCCAGAGTCCTCCTGTTTGGCCTCAGACCCTGGGCCCCATGAACAAGAGCTGACAACAGGCTTTTAGCAAAGAATTTCAACTTCCCTTTTTTTTTTTTTCAATTGCACACAAATGAGGAAATGTTTTCCCTCAAGTTCAGAGCTAGCTACCAAGTTAGTGACTAGCTGGGCTCCACAGTGGGTTTCAAGTGCATTTGTGAGCTTGGACCCATTGCAAGTTAACTGTGGCCCTAGCATGGGTAACCACCTGGGTCTCATGTCCAGCACCAAAATAATACAAAAAACAAGCAAATGCTTTTGGAGATCGTCTTGAGTTCTTTTCTAAAATCATTTCATGTATAAAACCCAGGCATGGCCGGGGATTTAGCTCAGTGGTTCCAGCACCTACCTCACAAGTGCAAGGTCCCAAGTTCGATCCCCCATACCAAAAAACGAACTGGTCATGTGAACAGAAATCATTGCAGGAGCCCTGGGTAGAGCTGTCTGCCTGGCGCAATGTAGGGCTTCACATACACCCCTCATCTGCCGCTCGAAACAGCTCTGTGAGGGTCCATCTTCCTCCCAGTGTGCAGGGAGAGAGACTGTGACAAAGGTGTCACTTGTTCAAGGACACAGACAGCCAGAGCCAACTCGAAATTGCAACTCAAGCAGTCTGATTCCTAGGGCCATGCTTCTTCTAAAATTTCAATTGTAAATATTTGATGGAAAAGCAACAAACATACCAAAAAATGCACACGTTCTCAGTATAGAGCTGGGAGACTTTTCACAAGGTGAACGTGATCTGGTACTGAGGCTTAGATCCAGGGGCATCATCAGACCCAGGAGGCCCTCCTGCTTGGTTCCAGGCCCTCGCCTTACTCTCTCACCTCCTTTCTTTCTTTTCTTCTTTTTTTTTCTTTTTTCTTTGGTTGTTTTTGTTTTGTTTTGTTTTGCTTTTATGCTACTGGAGATGGAACCCAGAGCCTCAAACATGTTAGCCAAGCGCTCACCACTTAGCTAACAACCCCAGCCCCATCCTGCCTTTTAAAACCACAGATCACTGTGGCAATTTTAGGTCTAAAGATGATTTTAGTTCATACAACCTGCATCGTGCAGTCTGTCTAGCTTTGGTGTCTAGCTTCTTCCACTCCTCGTGCTGTTTGCTACCTTCCTGTCCCATTGTCTGACCATCCCACAGTCTTCCCAGTCCAGTTTTGGTGGCCATGTGGACTACTCCCTGCTGGGCTCTAGTTCACACTGTGCTATCATGTGTGTTATTGGTGCTCTCTTTTTGTGTGTATGCGTGTGCACTGCTGTCAGGCACCTTGCTAGGAGCAGACTTGCTGGGCAACATGGCATATGTCATTCAACACTAGTAAATGCTGCTGCTAAGCTCTGGGGCTGGGGTGAGCACTCACCCACTATGTGCCAGGCCCTGGGTTCCGGACCCAGCATTGAATAGAAAAAATGTAGTTCTAGCTGCTCCACATCTTTGCCAACTCTCAGCTGCATTTGGGCAGCTGGGTGTACAGTAGTGTCATATTGTGGTTTTAACCTCATTCCTCCCAAAACTATTAGAGAGAGCACCTTCTCAAAGTTATTTCCCACGCTGGTTGATATCTTCTTTGGTAAAATTCTTGTTCAGGAATTGTCCTCATTTTTCTATTGAGTTCTGTGCCTTTCTCATATTTATAACTAGGAAATCTTTTAAGTATTCTGGACTCAAACCCTCCATTGGATATACACATCACAACTACCTTCTGCTGCTTTGGGGACAGACTTTCCACTCTCTTAATGGCAGGTTTTAAAGCACAGGAGTATTTTCATAGCTTTATTGAGATATAATGTGCGTATCATACCCCCGACCCACGCAAAGGTGGAAAACTCTATGGTGTTAGTAGGTTCAGGGTTGTGCAGTCAGCACCATGCCTGGAGAGCTCAGAATATTTTCATCACTCCAGAAAGAAGCCCCACTCCGATGAACAGCCCCTCGCTATTTCCCTCCAGCCCACCCACTCACTAGGCAGTCACTAATCTGATTTCTGCAGACCTTTTCTTATTGTAGCTTAAATCATCAACATTTTCCTTTGTAATTTGAACACTTTATTGAAGAGCTCTTTGAGTGAGAATGGAGGCTCATGCCTGTCATCCCAGCATTCAGAAAGCTGAGGCAGGAGGATCTCCTCCTGAGTACATTGTTGAAAAACTGGGATCGCATTAAAATTTGAGTAAATTTGGTGAAAGTTGTCATCTCTGTGACCACAGGTCTTCTGAATGGAATAACCCTGTTGTTCAGATTTTCTGTAATTTCTATCAAAAATGTTTTGAGAGAAACATTCTTTTAAGGTCTTATACATCTTTCATTCAACTTATTCCTAGAATTTGACATCTCTAATGCCATTATAAATAGATTTTTTTCTAACTTCATTTTCCATTTGTCTGTTGCTGGCATTCAGAAATGAAATGAAGTGACTTTTGTAAACTGACCTTCTCCCCAGGGACCCTTAAACTTGCTTATTAGCTTAATAGTGTTTGCATGGATTCTGGGCCTCCTGCTCACCTTTCTTGCTCGAGTTTTTGTTTGCTTGTCTCATTTTTGTTTTTCTCTTTGGTGCTGAGGTGGCCCAGGGCCTCGCATAGCACTCCGCTGCTGAGCCACTCCCCAGACCCCGGTACCACACAGCCCAGATTTCGATGCAGAAAGCAGAACCCTCCCTTCCCACGTCCAACAGCTGCTGGGACCCTGCAGCAGGTAT